GTATGAAGGAAGAAAAATGCAAATAAGAAATAATGGGGCAACAAGGACAAATATTCTAAAGAAGAATAAGGGGGGGAAATGTAAATAATAGAAGATTACTGTTACGAAATCGCTGTTAAAAAAGGGAGGAATATATACTGTGTATATATGTGTGTTATGTTTTGTTTTGTTTTGTTGGTTTAAATAATAAAAATTATTTTAATTTTTTTTTTAAAAAAAGAAATTAATACTAATTAGATAGATTAGGTGTGGATGATTACAATGAAATAGGGCTAGTGTTATTGAATTATATAATTTAAACAAGGGGAATACATGCCCCTTATGTTTTTGTTTTATTTTATTTCTCCATAACTTTAGTATAGTTTATCTTTTTCTTGGTTTTTGTTTCTATTAATAAAAGTAATTCATAACTTAAAAAACTGTATATAACATTACACTGTAATATTATATACAGTTTTGGCCATGTATGAGATTTGGGCTTTTTTGCCATATAAAATAATCTTGAGTTATAATTTAGTTCTAATTTTTAATATTAATTTAATGTTTTGTTTTACTGTTTATAATTTATTACTGATCTGTACTGAATTATCCAAGTATATTCAATGCAAAATTCAATAACGCTAACTATATGTACCTAATTTTTTATTTTAATATAAATTTTAATTTTTTTAAAAGATATTTTTTAAAAGTCACAGTATATTTATTGCAATTGATTATAGTACCATTTTTAAAAATCTTTCTAATGTAATAACAGAATAAAAGCATACCTTCAGTGACTGAGCAGTATCAGCATCCGTATCATGGTAAAGTATAACATTATTGGCCATGTCAAAGCTTTCACGTACCCCAAGGTGGTAGAAGAGGGAGGGTTGTCTGGAAAAATCACTCATATCCACTACTGCAACATCTATAGTAAGAACATGGAATAAAACTTGGGAAAAATTGTACGGTGTTATTCCTAAAGTTCTGCTTCTGAGATTAAAACAATTTGTCAGACAGAGTTCCCACATCTGGTATTGCCCTTTTGGGGGAAAAAAGATTAAAATGATAACATGAAATAATTTCTGCACAAACTCCTGGACCTATGTAATGTAAACTTGTATGGCCAAAGATTTCAGACTTCGGAAATAAATCAGTCTTGCAAGTGATAAATAAAATCAAAGTTTATTTAAAAAGAGAAAGCAAAACTCATATTGGTTTGTAAATATTTGACAAAACTCCCTCCTCCCTAGCCCCAGACTGACTGGTAAATGTTTTTCCACAGCTGGTGACATGCGGAGAAGCTAGAGAAACAGTTGGGGAAATCACCATCCTCTGCCTTAAGAATCCATGTACACCACAATACTTTTAATTTCTTAATCACCTTCAAGGACTATTAATATTTTTTAAGTCAAGATAAAAGAGGCTCCTTTAGTCACAGACTGCGATGCCTTTTTGAAAGACCTGTGCCATTTTAGGGATTTCTTTAGTGTTAAATAACAACAAGGAAGAAAGCTGCTAAGGCAAGCCAAAATAAGGAAGAGCCCTCCCCCCCCCAAAAAAAGCTGACAGAGAAACATAAAAGAACAAAGTTTGAAAGGTGTGATTTTAGTTTATTATCGTAGTAACTTGTAGCTTGGTCTTCTTTGCTGTGGCTGGCTAAAATTTTCTAATCCTTTTCAAAAAGGGAGTCAAGATGGAGGAGCAAATTATTAGAGATATATTTGAAAGGACTTTAAATAAAATCTACCAATTTGTTGACCAGCTGTGCTCCAAGGATGATTTAGAAAAACCTCTCAAATTACTCTAGAGATGCAAACATGTGCAGAAAGTTACTAAACTACTGAGGCAATTTCACAAGTAGCTGAAAATGCAGAGGAGTTCATTGCAAATTTGGAATACAAACTTGACATTAACTTTTACTATGTGGTTTAAATATAAATTTCTCAACACAACCGAAAGAAGAGGGTCAAGAAAACTGGCAAGTTTTAAAAAGACAAATTTGGGACTTTTCTTCAAGGACATTTATAAGGCTGAGAAATCCATGATAAAAAGGGAGACTTATAACTACTAGATACATTTTCCAGAGAAGATTCTACCCCATGAAGACAAGCTGGAAGGAATGATTTCAACTTAATGAGTTAATTGGATCTAGGATGGATTTTTCTTGGTTAGATATTTGTAATTGAAAAAAAGTCTTAATCTAAAATTTGAAAATGTAATATCTTAAGTAATTTTTAAAGTATGCAAAATGTTACTAAAAATGTATTTGAGAGTTCTTGTGTTAAGAGAAAGTTAAAGAAAACGATGTACCAGTTTAAAGAAAACTTTGTGTTTTAAAAAGGATGTTTATAAAAGGGAAAAAATATTATTCTATAAGGATAGTGTCAACCTCTGGCTGAAAAGCCCAACCAAGGAAAACACCAGAGTCATTAATTACTCTAATGTGACCTTTATTGAGCAGAATCATTAGGGCAGGTTCAAAGTGAAAGCTAGCTCTGACAAAATGGTGGGAAGCAGTTAATTAAAAGAACAAATCTCCTGTCTTCTCTTGACAGTTCAGATCACATTGTCCAATACATCTTCAGGTAATTATTATGAGAAGACACTTTATTTCATCAAAACAAATCTTCGGCTCTCACGGTGATAACACCTGTGGATTCAAAGGATTCAAAGTTTGCCCCATCTCCCTCGCGGCATCTGTTGGCAAGCTAGAAGCACGCAGCGGTCCTAAAGGCACTAGGGTTCATAGCTTGACAGATAATTTGGAGGGTGGGAGCTAAATTCAATACTGAAATTCAAAGCCTGTATGTTAAGAAGTTAAAGAAAGTTTTGATTCTAGAAAAGTGTTTAAAGAAAATTTAGCATTCTTAAAAAAAGGGCGGTGGAAAAGAAAAAAAAAGAGTATTTTTCCCAGTAAGGTCAAAGAATCTGAAAGAATACAGTGAACCTTGTTTAAAAAATGGTGATAGTTTACAAAGGTTATTAGTGTGTGTGTGTGTGTGTGTGTGTGTGCATACACACATATACATACACACACATACAGTGAGTTTGTTTTTGTTTATACAGTTTTAATTACTGATATACATTGGAATAAGTAAATATGATTAAGAAAATGCCACAGGCATCCCCAAGAGAAGGCAAATTTAAACCAAATAAGGTTTTACTGTGATCTTTATTAATTCATTATAGTTGAGTAATGTAATTTGCTTTATTTTAAAACCTAAAAAAATGTGGATTAAAGATTATTTTTATTGATAGTTTCCAACCTATAGTTGCTTTCCTGGCAGCTATAATAAACCTTAAAACAAATTAAAATTAAAAAAACAAGTTTAAATCAATAAAAACACAAATGAAAAAATACAAATACATAATGTATCTTAAATACTAATTATATAATACTAATTATATATACATGCAAGATACACATGTACATAATCATGCACATGTAGCGGGGACTGCCTGAGAGTGCTTGCAGGAGCTTGACTGGGAAGGGGAAGATTGGGACAGCTGCAGTTGGCTTGGGTGTGGCTGGCGTGAGTGGAAGGAGGAAGGATAGAAAAGGGAAGAAAAGGAGAAGGCCGGGGTGGTTGGAGTTGAGAAGAGAAGGTCTGGAAGCTTATTTTATTTTTCTATCAAGGGTA